TGTCGATTTGTGTAGGATTCGCCTATGCTAAACCCTGCACAGCAGTACTTGACATTAAGGTCACTAGGTGCTCCAGCAGTTCTTCTCTCGTTAGCTATGCAGGGTGTCTTTCGAGGATTTAAAGACACTAAAACTCCTTTATATGCCACTGGTATATCCTATTAATAGAGTTTCAGATACCGTTTCAATCTACCGACTGTTTTTAAACGATTCTCGTCCTAATCTTAGTTGCAGGAGATGTAACAAACATCATTTTGGACCTGATATTTATGTTTGTTTTGCGTCTGGGTGTCAGCGGTGCAGCCATTGCTCATGTGATATCTCAGTAAGTTACATCCAAATCATCGACCAGCGATAGGTTTATCATGCTATATATACACATTCATTTGCCTGTTAATGTGTATGGTAATTGCAGGTACCTTATTTCGGTAATACTCTTGTGGAAGCTAATGAGTCAAGTTTACCTCTTACCCCCTAGTTTAAAACATCTACAATTTGGTAGATTTCTGAAGAATGGTAACTTTAATTTCACTTCAATCCAGTCTCAAATATCGACATTGTTTTCACTTGAGTTTTTGTACTTTCGAGTAGATCGAATTACACATCCCTTACCATTTATATGTTCGACTTCAGGCTTCCTATTGTTAATAAGGGTTATGGCTGTTACATTCTGTATCACCCTGTCAGCGTCGATGGCTGCCAGACTGGGATCGACATCCATGGCTGCATTTCAAGTATGCTTGCAGGTTTGGCTGGCGACTTCTCTTCTTGCCGACGGGTTGGCCGTAGCTGGACAGGTAACAATGACTGCATTTTTGCTGCTGTTCTGCCGTTTTGGAAGTGATAAACGCTTTCATTATTGTAATTTAACTGCTTTCTGGTACTTCCAGGCAATACTTGCAAGTTCGTTTGCGAAAAAGGACTATGAGAAGGCAACGGCCACCGCGTCTCGAGTATTGCAGGTGACATATATCCTAATTCATATTCATAGTACCGTAAACAGCGAGTGAGACTTCCTGATATTCCTAAAAGTCTATGTACATTGGGTGTAGTTAGGATTGGTTCTAGGGTTGATACTTGCAGTCATTCTTGGCGGAGGACTGAGTTTCGGAGCGAAAATATTTACAAAAGATGTTGATGTCCTCCTACTCATCGGTACAGGCATTCCAGTAAGTACCATATCAAATTTCAACCTTCCTACTTTCAAACCCGAAACATCATCCGAAATCGGGACCTAATGTTCGTTAATCTCCGGTTTCTGATCAGTTTGTTGCAGCAACTCAGCCCATCAATTCATTAGCATTTGTTTTCGATGGTGTCAACTTTGGAGCATCCGACTTTGCATATTCTGCCTTATCCTTGGCAAGTCTACGTATTATCTCCATTCGACATCCATGAAAAAGCTCGATTTAACGACTCTAATCGAAGCACTTGTCGATTTCGAACAGGTTCTTGTAGCGATTGTCAGCATTATATGCCTATGCATCTTCTCCAAAAGTCACGGATTCATCGGACTCTGGATAGCTCTGACGATATATATGAGTCTTCGAGCGTTTGCTGGGTTTTGGAGGTAAATTTTCCATGTCCAGTACGACGACGAGATTCGTATTTAACACACACACATTCAAGTCCGAGTAACGTAGAGAGAATTAAAACTGAAAAAATGTATGGTGCATTTGCAGGATAGGAACAGGAACAGGGCCTTGGAAGTTTCTGAGGGGCATCATGTAACTTGGGATGTTAAGGTACGGCATAACTAATATACGGCTAAGGAAGTGCGCTATCAGAAATGTTAATATTTTTTTAACATTTCCGGTAAAACGCTACTTAAAACATAATTTTTTCTACCGAAAATATTAATATTAGATGTTATCTAAATGTTATTTTTTTACCCGTTTTTTTACCGGAAATTAGATAACAAAATTAATATTTTTTATAGAAAAAAAATAATGTTTTAGGTAACGCTTTACCAGAAATGTTAGAAAAAACATTAACATTTCTGATAGTGTCTTTCCTTAGCCATATATTATGTTGTCGTACTATAAAATTATCCTCTATGTTTTTGATAACTTTAATAGCCTTCATCCGTATCTGACTAGAATTCTTTTGAAGCGCATAAACATTTGTATATTGGGTCGGATTAGGGATTTTTTTTTTTAACTTTTAAAATTTTAGAGCGTAAATTTGAACTTATAAAATTTCAAGAGATGAAAATATATTTTTAATAAAAAATACATAAAAAATTAAAATATATAATAATTTTAAAATTTCGTCAGTCCCTGCTTTTATATTACAAAAAAATGTACTATGATGTTAGGCTAAAAAGGAAGAGAAAATATTTGTCTACAGTATTGATTTGTTTTATGTTTTCAAGTATAAGAAAAAACAATTTAAACTTTCAAGCAAAAGAATATTATTTATTCTAATATATTAATTAAGTATTTTGAAATTTAAATATGATTAATTTTATTTTAAAATATATAACATATATTAAAATAATTTTGCATTAAAATATTTTTTATTAATCTATTCTATATTGGGGTGCTTATTGAGCGAGTTGATCGTGAGTTAGGCAATATACTTGACTCGTGCTCGTTAAAAAAATTTATTGTTTGAATCAACTCGTTGCTCGTTAAGCTCGTTAAAATTTTGTTCGATTTGTGCTCGTTAAAAAAATTTGTTGCTCGACTCGTGTTCATTAAACTCATTGCTCGTTAAACTCACTAAAATTTTATCTTATTTTTTTAACTATAAGTTAAATATACTAATACTATAAATTAATAAATTATTTATTTATCATGTTTTTATTATCTATTAGTTCTTAGTAATTTTTGAATGAAATATTTTTTTAAAAATAACGACTAAAAATTAAAAAAAAATAAAAAGCTTCTCGCGAACTTATCGAGTCGAATTGAATTTTGTTCGACTTTTTTCCGTTAAGGTCTCGAGTTGAGTCAACTGGAGTCGAGCTCGAACTGTTCACGAGCTACTTAACTCATTAAGCACCCCTATTTCTATCTTTATATTATATATAATCGTGTTAAATTTATTTAATAATGCAATAATAACAAAAATAAAAGAAATCATTTATTTAGGTGAAGGGTAATGATGTTGGTGTATGCTTATTCTTTATCTATTACATAAAATGATTTCATTAATATGATTGGTTCCACCAAATGTCGTAAAAGAATTTGCATTTAACATTATTGTCCTCATTGGTCTGAATGAAAAGTTTGAGGACCCAAATGATTCAAGTTTTGATGTGTTTTCAATATCAAATGAAATATTATATGAAAGTCGCATCAGTCTCTCATATTATTTGTTGGAAAATTGAGTTATTAATTAGGAAAATAACAAGCAGCTTGAAATTATGTCATTCAATAAATTATGACATTCAAGCTCCACCAAGTTTATTTCTTTTCTTGATAGACGATCCCCATCGCTTGAAAATTCAGTTTTTATCTCTAAAATTTAGGTTTTATTATTATTATTATTATTATTATTATTATTATTATTATTATATATTATATATATATATATATATATATATATATATATATTAGGGTTAAAGAAGATGACTTAAACTATGATTTTTTTAAGTATTTAAATTGTTATATATAATCACTTTAGGTAATTCGATTTTTTTTTGTCAAAACAAGTTCTTAAACTATACTTTTGTTTGCTTTAAGTTCCTAATTTTTTTACTCAAAACAAATACCTAATTTTATATGATGTGTCAACATTTTATTGGTCGAAAAATAATTTTTTGAGTACCTAAAAAACATAGTTTAAATACTTATTTTTACTATAAGCCTTTCTTTTAATAGTTGAGGCTATTATGAGATAATATTTGATTAATTTTTTTTTAATATATTAATAATGTATATCATCATACGAACACAACTGCTTAAAACTTAAATCTTTAATAAAAAGTAACATTTTATTTTACTGTTAAATTCATTTAAATTCATATTGTATCTGTTCTTTAATTTGGTGTAATAAATTTCGTGCATTTCCTGCTCATGTGATGTCACGCTTCTAGAAGCAAAAATGAGTCTGTCTCCTCCCAATTTGAAAATTAATTTTATCACAAACCCTTTATTATTTATTTAATAAAAGATTTTGTCACCAATCGGAGCCACTCTTGGCTCCACACGATATTCTTGATGTTGCGCATAGCAACCCTACTCTTGGCTCGTGCTTATCTCATGCATGACACTCACCCGCTGCCACTTACTCTATATATATTTTTAAAATCTTTTCCGAATTTTTTTTTATTAATCTGAAATAAATATAAATTAAATATTTATTTTTCTGAGTATTTTTTTAATTTGATTGCCATATTTTAAGAATTAATGGCTTATTCTTTTTGGTACACCAACAAATGATTTTGATCAATTGGGATATGTACAAAATTTTATATTAGAAAGTATTAATTTAAAAAAGTAAGAATTATAAAATTTGAAGCATACAAAATTAGATAATCGATAAAAAATATAAAAGAATATATTTAAATCATGTAAGAATTCAAATTTTTTAAGTGTATAACTATATCTAGTATCCTTCAATTTTTTTATTAAACTAAAGTGATTATAAAATAATATATGTTCTAAATACTTTCAAACATCTGACAATATTAATAAACCCTTAACAAGAGCTACGATAGCAGCCAAACACCCCTGGTCAATTGACTATATTCACAAGAGTTTGGACGGTTTCCGCATGCGGTACGTGGATAAAGATGTAGACATACACGCATACATACCTCCTCAAACACATGCACTCTCGTGTCACACAAACATAATTACAAAGAGAAAAAAACTATTACGAATTGATAATTTTTCATTATTATAATGTTTTATGTATACAATTACAGAAGTTCCTAAAACCAAATTTGATAGAATACACCAACTCCATATATTAAACAAATTATATAAGCCTCTGAGTTATATATACATCAGTCAATGATCATTCCACTGTCATAAAGAAACAACAGTTGCAAGAAAATTAAAGCAGTCCGATATGTGTGCATTGGCCCCTTTTCCTACCCCAAACTGGCCTTTATTCAATCCCATCGGCCATGAACTTAACTATATCTATCAAGACCCTGATACCATAGGCTCATTCCCTCGGTTCTCTCCTCAATCCCCATGCTTCACTCCAGCCAGCTTCGACCCCTTCACGGCCAAGAAGCTTAACCACAACGCTTGCGAGCGCGAACGAAGGAAGAAGGTCAACGGTTTGTATTCGTCCCTCCGGTCGTTGCTGCCGGTGGCCAAACGAATGGTATGTGATTACAGTACAAGAGCCTTAAATGTAAATGGATATGTAGTTCATGGATTTGTTCGTTTTGCTTGCAGAAGAAGTTGAGCTTTCCGGCCACGGTTTCGTATGCGGTGAAATACATACAGGAACTGCAGGAGGAGTTGGAGAGATTGGTTCAGAAGAAGGAGGAGCTTTTGTTGAGGATTACTCAGCTGGGTGGGACTAAATGTTTTAGCGATGAAGGAGAGGAAAGAAGCAGCAGAAATGGGAGATTTTTAAGTGGCGTTGCGGTTTCCGTGAATCGGCTTAGCGATAGTGAAGCTGCGGTTCAGATGTCAATAAACAGAGATGAAGTTGAGAAAACTCAACTGTCTGAGATTTTGCATCTCTTGGAGCAACGAGGGTTCCTCCTATTGGGTGCTTCTTCTTTCTCGTCATTCGGAGGGATGATCTTCTATATCATTCACCTTCAGGTACATACATACATACAATTTACCCTCTTCTGGATCCTTTCTATTTATCAAGATGTACAAAGTTTCATATCTTCCGAACAATTGCAGTCTTTTAATTAAACTGTTGTCAAATCCATCACCGCAAACTCTGTGTATAATAACCTGATCAATTTACTTTATCAACCTATGAATAACAATGAGGGTTGACACAATGGACAAGAGGATCCCGATCTCTTGAACCATCTCTCTCTCCTGCACTTTTCATCGTTTTTGTTCTACTTAAGAACAATCGATCGTGACTTTCCATCTAAACCAGAAAAAATAAATCGTCTACGACCTACAATCTCCATATTTGAAGATATTTCATGTTATATTCATGTACATTATGCATGTTAAATTTTGAGTGATTAAAACTGTTTTGTCATCTAACTTCAATGCTTGGATTGTGCAGGTGGAACCGGGAACGACTTACCAATTAACGGAATCAGATATTGAGGCAGTGAGGAAGAAGGTCTTGACATTAATTGTGTGACAGATAATAGAGAAGGGTTGCTACTCCATAATTAATCTCTAGTTATATCCCTAACTAAATGTAAATGACTACTTTTATGCAATTAATTGAAGGGAATTTTGTTCTCTTTATATGATCTTAATTGGGGGTAAGGCTAAGGGGTCGTGAAGCTCATGGGAATTAAAGGGAGGTGATGTTATTCTGCTTTGTTGCAATACTGAAAATAAAATTTAGGGTCATTTTGACATTAGCTTTAAAAGTAAGGGTAATACGTATTTTTTTTAAAAAAAAGACTATTAAAAATATTTTTAGATTATTTAATTTAGAATTTGAGTATTGGAGATTGTACCATAAATAGGTATATTCTTAAAGGCTCATATTTAAATAGGTATATTCTTGTGGTGGATATCAATTCAGTATTTTAAGAACAAGTTGATGACATTATAAAAGAAAAATATAATTTAATAAACTTTGGTCGGTTTCTGTATGACCATTGGATAAGATCTCACAAATTCCCCCAACCCCCATAAAAAAAAGCATAATTAGAGTTATAGACCAAGTTATCACATCGTGATAGAGATGTGTGTTGCTTATTTTTTTTTTTAAAAAAAAAGAAGAAAATCATAGATTCTAGAAATTTCTATATCTAATATATATTTGTTTTAATATATATAACCATTCACATCAAACGATATATGAGCTTTTAGAGGGAGGGTTTCGCATGCAGTGAAACATATACCAGAATTGCAGGAGCAGGTGGAGAGGTTGATTTGGAAGAATCATTGAGGATTTCTAATCAGCAGGGAGGAATTAATTAAATGTTTTACTGATGAAGAAGAGCTAAGAATAAGCAGAGAAATGGAAGATGTCAGAGCTGCAGTGAAATATATTATATTTCTACTTCTTGTTATTCATGAAAATTCTTCTATTCCTTTCTCAAACCACAGAAACAATTCCCACATTTTCCCCTTCTACTTCTAAAAATCTTTTTTATTATAGTTTCCATTTCTATTGGACCACAAACAAGAAATACAGTACTTATACTTTTGAAATCAAACAAAACATCAGGCTCTCGTAGCTCAGTTGGTTAGAGCACTTGTTTAATAAGCGCGAGGTTTTATGTAACACCCCCAACTTATACTCGACCCGGATACGAATCCGATCTGTCGCATTGACTTTTCAAAACTCTGACTCTTTGAAAACTTATTGAAAATTTAAACTTTTATTTATATGTTAGTGGTGAAACCCTTAAACCAAAGTTACTATCGAAAATTTATAATTCACATTGAGAAGAAATATTCAATATATTTACATAACTTAAAATAGTATGGCTACAAAATTGATCAGAGTTATTCGATTTAAAACCTTATAATACATGCCAACAAAATTTCAAAGTAACCATAATAAACACCTACAATTCAAATAATTATGATCTAAACTGTCTTCAGTTGTATGTTGCTCTTTCCTAACTTTACTCCTCATATCTTTTTGTAATTACGTGTGAAATAATCACACGCTAAGTCGATGACTTAGTGAGGCAATAATGAAAGTAATAAAACATTTAAAAACACTTGTTTATTCAATCCATATAAACCATTTCATACTGAAATCAAGATACATTTCATGACATTAACGTATAATGTTACTCATTATTCAATTTATATCACTTTATTATTTTAGCCCAACGCATATTACTGAGAATTCAAGGTATCTGAGTACATTGAGGTTGTGCACTAAATGCAGTCATCACTGCTCATATAATTTGCAGCTAAGTGCCACGTAGAATATGCACCGAAGTGCCACATAGATTTGTCCCAAAGGACCGTGTAGAATTTGTCGCAAATGACCACATAGAAATTTGTCCTGAATAACCGCGTAGAACCCTTGACTCTTGGCATGCCAACTATACCTCTAATTCTCATACATATACTTTGGGCTTTAGTTTTATAATTATTTTTCATTTCATTATTCAAAGTGTGTTTTATCCACGTAGAGCACATACACATAGGGTATTTTCACGTAGAACATTTTCACTTAGCATATTTTTACATAGAACATTTTCATATAAACATATTCACATACAAATAATATCAAAATAGTACTTTGAAAATACACTATATAAAACATAATAAAATATTACGTAAAATAAATAAACAATTTTCGATCGAAAACCATCGAGGTTGACTTATCGCAAGTCATCCTCATATCTAATATAAAAATATAAATTACACTCACCTTTGCCTCACGTAAGTCCTAAACGAAATCCTTTTAACTTTCGTTCAGTCTTGTTGCTATATCACTTCGATCGGTACGCTTTCGATCCAAATATACACATTAATGAAATGAAACACTCAATTTAACATTTCAAGCTGAATAGTTTCGGTACTCTTCCTATAGTACCGATATTTCTCTTCTATGGTACCGATACATTTTTCAGTATCAATATCATTTTAGCATTATGGAATTTCATTTCAATTACAGTATCGATACCTTCATCTTGGTATCAATACCTCCACATCAATATCGATATTTATTCAATCAATATCGATATTGTTCATCTGATTCATATATTTTCCTTCAATTTACCGTTATAGTATCGGTACTGTTCTTCCAGTACTGACACCCTTACCTAAATTTCACTTATTTTTTTCAAATTTTCCCACAATTCACCTAAATCGTATACTTTAAGCTCTAATCAAACATTTAAACTTACTAACATTGATCACCACCAACTTATATCCATTAATTACCTTTTAATAACTAAATTTCTCTATGGAACACTTAAGATTAAGAATCATACCAAATCTTCAAACATGTTCTCAAATCTCAATCATTTCTAATACTTCAAATGCCTTAATTTGACCTTTGACAAGTCAAATATGCTTGTAGAATCTAATTACTAACCAAAATTCATCAATTCACTTAAAACCCCATTTTACTAATTCACTAATAATTCAATAATATCTTAGTTTTATTCATCCTTAAGCTTTTCGTAATCACTCAAGGCTTCAATACCAACCAAAAAATGAAAGGAATAATCAACTTTACAATCCCTTACTTTAGCATGGGAGTCACAGTAGAAGGAGGAAGAAGAGAAGATAAAGTGATTCTAGATTTTTCTTTTCCCTTAACTCAAATTCCACATGCTTAAATTAACTTTGATAATAAGTCCTAGACACCAAATTCCAAAATCAATCATTGAACTTTTCAATTTATTCAAATTAAACCACCAAATTTTAAATTTTTACATTTTAGTCACTGACCAGATGTTTGGGGTATTACATTTTTAGTTCAACTCTCAACAACAAGAGAAGTAAATTATTTTGGTTTCTAATTCTTTTTTTTATTGAGTGGTAAAACATAATAAGTTCTGCATATACCTACTGCTATTTTAGCCCAACTATCTTAATTTGACTTTTAGTGCCTAAATTTTTTCGCTAAAAATAAGTGTCTAACGTTTTCAACGTTGTACTTTTAGATGCTTGGACATTTACCGTGGTTAAAAAACTCCGTTAAGTAACACGTGTTGAGTTCTGGTAATTTTGAATTTTTTATTTAAAATAAAAAATAAAATATTGTTTGTAATTAAAAAAACCTAAATTTTTTCTGAAATCACAAAAAGACTTGAAAAAGTAAAATCTCTCATTCCAACCTCCAATATCAATCATCTTCGGTCACTTTTGACCACCATCGTCATCGTCGAATGGTCACCCATTTGTCGTCGCCTATCCAATGACCAATCGTAACCCTTACTATCACCCCCAATCCCCTATATCTCTAAAACTCCATATCAAAATCCCTAGTCCTTTAAAAAGCCTAATTCTCAATTTATAAAATCCTTAATTTCTACTGCGTAGATTTATAATTTTTCAGCTTTAGTTGACGTACACCATGGAAGCACCTATATTGAATTTGGATTTAATTTTAACCAAATTATTTTGATTGTCGGAGGAGAGGTGTTCAATGGGATGGGAGGAAAAGAGGGTTTTTTATTTTTATTTTTTTAAAACATATTTTTATGTTAAAAAAATAATGATGGACACTTAAAAGTGTAATTAAAAAAACACTAGACACCTATTTTAATGAAAAATTCTTTAGGCACCAAAAATCAATTAGAAGTATAGTTTAGATACTTAAAAGTATTGTAACATCCTCGATACCGGGTTAGTGACCAAAGTGTGAAATTTTAAAATTCAATGACCAGATTAAATAAATTGAAAGGTAAAGGAAATAATTGAAAGATGTTGGTGTAGGATTAATTAGCAAATGAATGAAGAGTAAAAGGGTAAAAGGGTCATTAAACAAGTGAATGAATAAAATATTGTTTGGGTTATCTTATAACCCACGTGGAGCACAATTGTGGGAAACAAAAGTTTCCAGACAATTCATTCATCTTCATCTTCTTCTCTTCTCCCAAACGTGAAGCCTCAAAATTCAAGGTGATTTTGATTTCTTTTAGTTAATCCTCCAAATTAAAGTATGGTTTTGATTCATGAAGCTTTAGGAAAGATGATGGAGATGAAAAAGGTCATAAAAACTCAAAGATTTGGAAGTTATGAAGGATTAAAGATAGGAAGTGGATAAGTGAAATTTTGAATAAAGATGTATAAATGGATTTAGAAGTTGAATTTGACTTGTCATAGGTGTGAATAATAAGTTATAAGTGTTAGAAATAAGTTTGGACTACATGGAAATTTTGGTATGATTCTTAGTTTTAAGAATTTAAATGAGATATGGGAAATTCTAAACTGTTGGAATGATAAAAGTTAGTTAAAATGGTTGTAGTTGAGTTTAGTGGTATGAAAGGAGTTTTATATGAGGAAATTTAATGAAAAGTTGTGGAATTTTCGGGTGAAACCAGTTTATTATTGACATGTGCATCGATACACTATGAATGGGCACCGATGCACTAAGACCAAATTTGAAAGTGCATCGATGCATTAAGGGTTCATCGATGCATGAAAATTTTGAACCTAATTTGGGTACCAATGCACCCATAGTGCATCGGTACACTCCTAAAAGAAATTAGGAATATGAGTTTATTAAATTCATTTAAGTTAATAGCATCGAAGTATAAGGTTTAGGCTCCTGATAATCATCTTAAAAATTATATTTATATAGATATTGAGCCTAAACGAGTTCCGGAACAAGTGACAAGTA